CAGCGAGAGCTCAGAGGTGGGGCAAATCCACCTCCGACCCACCCTGTGGGTGAGCATCTTGGGAACAGGACTCCTACAGTGGTGGTCCAGGGCTGGGAAAGAAGGCCAGAGGGGAGGGCCTTCACAAAGGGTCGTGCGTGGAGACGGAGAGAGTCCTTCCTGTGCTGGTCCACAGCAGCCCTGCCCTGGGGGAAAAGGGGAGAAAGTTTCCTCTGTGGATTTTATTTATCCCCAGTTTGGGCAAGATCCAGGCAAGTGCTTTTAGTGCAATTTCCACTGATCCCTTGTGTTTAAGCTAACATGGAGAAACCAAGTCCTCAGAGAAGCCTGGGGTGTGTGTGGACCCCTACCACCACCTATGGAGGAGCCCGAGTCAGGGGCTAGCACTGAGCCCCAGGTGCCTGTGAGGGACAGCAGGCCATCAGCCTTGTGCACACGGCTCCATGAAAGTATGCTGGGCAAGAGGGCATACAGCGCCCAGCACTTGGCCCAGTAGGACAGAGGGACCCTCTAAAAGCAAGGGCATCGACCTTTATGGAAGCTGGTCACGAGTGGCCATCATTAGCAGTTTGCAGGGTCCTGCAGACCTGATCTGCAAGCCAGGCTGCCCCATGCCAAGCCCTCACCACACAGTGTGGACTGAGCCAGAGGGCAGGCAGTGGGTGGGTCAGCCTGGACTCGGCACTCTATCTGCTGCCTTTAGGGTCATTGCAGTGACGGCCAACACTGTGGCACCCAACGGGACGACGTCTCACAGCCAGCAGATGCATTCATGCACCCCGCGGCAGTGAGAAGTGCCCGCCCCGTCTTATCAGGACACGTCTTTGGCCTCTTCTTCCTACCGTATCGATGGTTTCCTGAGTGGAGTCTGGAAGCTGGAACTGAATAGTCTGTGCATTTTCTTTTCTTTGTGTGGAAGAAAGAGAAGCATCTCTATGGGATTTGACTTATAAAGTAGAGTCAGGTCCGCAGAGTGGCAAGAAGAAACAAAAAGCTACTGTGCTCTTGGTGCACAAAGGCAGGCGCTCCTGGCGCTTTGGCTCGAGCTCTGGGGTTCTGGCAGCTCTAGCGACACCATGAGAGTGGCCCATGGAAACGGTTGACTGGGAGGCCCCAATCTGAACTCAGGCCTGGCTGGTTCTCCTGCCCAGAGGCCCTCTCAGGAGAAGGAAGCAGACGCCACGTCGGGAATCCAGTGGACCCTCTGTGGCAGTCGGTGCACTGCCAGAGCAAACTCTGTCCTGTCAGAGACCCAGGGCCAACCCACGCGGGACTTTCCTTTCTGTGCCCTCTTTTCCAGGTTCCAAGTTTAGGCATAAGTCTTTGAGCTGCCACTTCAAGGGCAGCTACTCCTGTGGGTCCAGGTTTATTTTGCAAGGTTCTCTTAGGCCAGAAGTCATCCAAGGCCAAACAAGATGGCATGTCAGCAGGGTGTCTGCTTAGCATGGCATCTGCGTATCGTGGAGGGAAGATGAGAAGGTAGGCCTGAGGTGGAGCCAAACGTCACCTCGTGGTCCATTTCCCCTCCCCTGCCTTTCTGATTGCTAGATTTGTTCATATAGGATTACCCTGAGGTTGCAAAAGTGACAACTCCTTCTTCTTCGTGACAGCATACGGAACAATCTGGATTGCCTTGCAGATGGAAAGCTGTTCTTAAATGGCCAGTTGTCTGATGGCTGCAAACCCCAAACCGTGTGGCTGCTTTTGGTGCTAAATCCCCCAATATCTGAAACTGGCTGTTCTTTTCAGGGGAGGGGACAGTGGCTGTAAGCAGAGGCTGTTGGTTTGCAAAGCTCCTTTGTGGAGACCACTCTCTCTGCTGCACTTCTAACTTCAAAGTGCTGCTCGGCTTTAAGATAGTCATTTCTGTACTGGGCTCTTCTCTATGTCCAGAGCCTGCTGTCGGTTACCTGATATAAAAATGCCCAGAGAACGTTTTGCATGTCAGCATTTCATTCATTCATATTTTGAGAGCGGGCCCCTAGGAAAGAGCCTTCTGCACCCCTAAACTCCAGTGACAGCACGGGGTGCAGCAGTACAGCAGGCCTGACAGAGGCTTGTTAACTTAGCAAGCCAGTGAAGGAGTGCAGGAGGTGGCTGCTCTCTGGCACCCCTTCCCTCAGTTAGAAAACAAGCAGATGGTGGGACCCATTTGAGTTTTAATTCAGCTCCAAAAATTGGCCATGCTCGATGAGCGGAGGCTCGCCAGGTCAGTTCCGGGCTCTGGGTGAATTGTGATTCCCCCATCTCTGCATGTCCCTGGCTTCAGGGTGGACCAGATACCACAATGGAGTGGTCCTTGCTGCCAGCCCAGATCTTGCTGCCAGGCCAGGATCTCAGCAGCCCAGACTTCATTCCCCACTCCCCTGAGATGCACTTTGAAGCTGTCAGCCTGGCGCTGGAAGCGAGTTCTTCCAGTCACAGAAAACTGGCTTCCTGGGCTGTCCTGGGGGCTGCTTTCTGCAGCCCATTCTGGAACACAGATGGCAATAAGGCTTGGAAATCAGACGCGCATAGATTCCCTGCTCTGGACAAATGACAGCCTTCCCGAGCCTCCATCTCTCCTCCAGAATACGGATCTTGTTCCGGGGCCCATCTGGAAAGGTGCTTTCAGAACCCATGGAGACAGAGCTGTGGCACGGCCGTGGAGGTGCACTTGTTCCCAGGCCTGGGGCCCTGCCTCCTCCCCGTCTGTCTTCTTTTCCAGCCTTGGAAAGTGAGATAGTCTTTGCTACATATTCAAGGGAATACAGAGCCTGGCAGAGAGGGCACACAAAAGGAAAGTCCCGTGAGGGTTGGCCCTGGGTCTCTGACAGGACAGAGTTTGCTCTGGGCAGGGTCCTGATTGCCTCAGAGGGTCCACTGGAATCCCCACATGGCGTCTGCCAGGCCCACGGTCTTCTCCTGAAATGGCCTCTGGGCAGGAGAACCAGGGATGGTCAAAAAAGAAGGGATTGATAGCTCAATGTCAGCCAGTTCTAGGAATTCAGCCTGTGTGGACGCTCACTTCATCGCTCTTCTTGGCGTCTCAGAGAACTCCTTCTGTCATGACTCTGGGCACAGGGATTTGTCAGAGGTCTTGGTTCTTACATTTCCATGGTCAAGTCTCTTTCTATTTTAAGAAGTCTCTGAGATGAGTTTCTAAACCTCACCCTGCAGTGACATGCTTACTATTTGAAGAATTCACGTATTTCTAAAAACTGGTAAGAAGAGAGAAAATAGAAAACAATCTCCTGCCCCACCTGCAGTGACTCACCTTGTGGAACCCTGTGTCTTTGCCAGGGCTTGAGTAAGCAGTGATCAGGCAGCAGGCCCTGAAGTCAAGTAATCAGCTTTGTTGGAACAGTGCAGGGGCCAAGAGGAGCTCCAGCGTCTTCCTGGCGCCTGAGGGCTGCCTGGAGGGGGTGGAAGTCCTCCAGGACCAGAATCAGCCTCCTCCACTTGCTCCACTGCGGTGGCCTTCTGAGCTGACTCTCCCCAGCCCCAGGCCACGTGGATGCTGTGCTGCTGGTTCAGCAATCCCAGGTGAGGCTGAGCGGGGAGGGCAGCTTGAAGCACTTCAGTCTGTGAGCACCCTGACCCTGAAGAGATTGGATCTGGGTTTTGCACTCAGTGTGTGCTCCAACCTCTATTGTCCAGACGGTCCCTGGCTTAGGATGGTTGACGTATGATTTTCTAACTTTACAGTCAGCATCCGGTGGATTCTGTACTCTGAATTGTGAACATCGATCTTTCCTTGAATAATAATATAAGGTCTGACCTCTCCTCGTCCCATGACCGTGAGTGAGAGTAACAGACACTGCACTGTGCTCTGCTGCTAAGTTGCGATGCTTGGTAGGCTAGGTGTGTTAAAGGCATTTTCTACTCAGGGTTTGTTGGCTTCTGGCCACCATGAGGTGGGCAGTGCCCATCTGATGCCTTTCTTCAACCATGGTGTTCTGCCTTAACCTCAGGCCCAAAGCCATGAAATTGGTGGATTATGGCCTGAATTTCTGAAACTGTGAGCCTCCAAAATAACATTTTTCTCCTCTAAGTTGTTCTTGTCAGGTGTTTCAGTCTCAGCAATAAAAAGCTGACTAACAGAGAGATTCATATTGAAATGTGGGGTCGTTGCTGTGACTAACCTAATCATGTGGTTCAGAAGCCTTTGGAACTGGTTTGTGGGAGGAGTGTGGAAAAGTTTGGAGATGCAGTATGGAAAGGTCTGAGAATTTTGCAGTCAGAGCTTAATGGGTGATTTTAGTGGGCAAGCAAAAGACCAGAATAAGGACAGTACCGGATTCTATTGGAAATTGGACTGGAGACCAGTTGTGTTGTATTCTGACAAAGACTTTGTATACATTTTTTTTTTTCCAAATCCTGAGACTTAATATGAGGCTGAAGTTTTAAAAGTGATGCACTAATTAATCTGGAAGAGGAAATTTCAAGGCAGCACAGCACCCTGTCATTCACTGGCATGGGTTTTGCTGGCAGCTTTTAAACAGGTTTACTGTAAGAACTGGGAACAGAAAGCAGAACTGAAGGATTTTAAAAGCTTTCTGCTTGGCCAGAAAGTACGTGTAAAACTGGGGCCAGGGAAGCTATAGTAGTTTAAGAGATCACAGCCACTAAAGAGAGGCTAAGTACTTTGCATGGAACCACTAAGAAAGATGCTTGGAGAACATCTCAGGAATTTGAAGGGCCACACTCATTACAGGCTCAAGGGTATAAAAGTAGAAACTCCTTTCATAGACCATGGGGTGCCATGCATAGGGTTCATAGGGTGCCTGGGGAGTTGTTAACTTGGGATTTGTTTCACTCTACTTACCTGCCCAAGCCCTCAGAGGCTGTCGCGGTCTTGGTTCAGTGTGGCCTGATTCCTGTGGGAGCTGGTGGCAGATCTGACATCAT